CTGAACTGTTAGTACTGACACACACATAGACACACACACACACACACACATACAGTAGCAAAGTTAAACGAACAGGGCTTTATGTTCAGAAGAGATTCCAAAACTGTGAGTAGTATTATAGATGCAGTATGTGTTCAGCACAAGCACAAATGCAGTTTGACTGCAGAAGCCTTTGCAAACAGTAACAGTGTCCCAGTGTGCTTCTTGTTTACTCTTGTCTTTCCTTTTAACTTACTCCTATGAGCCTTTTTGTCTCTGTAATTGACTTTGAATATATATTACAACACATGGGGGAATTTACGGGGGATGTAAGAACTTTAAGTCATCTGCATTTTTACTCGTGAAATTCTTAAATAGGTCAATCACTTGATCATAAACGTGGACATAACAAAAAAAGCCCTGGGACAACTTGAAGGGAACAAAGCAATCATTCTCCCCTGATACCCATTCCTAATGGTATTAAACAGCCAATGATGGAAACTATTTTAAACTTTAAGAAATGTATCCAGTTTAGTTTGAATGTAATGAGCCATATTATGCAAATGGTGTGTTTGTTCCCTTTTCAGTAATTTCTAAACGTTTCATATGTTTGCATGTGCCTGTACTCACAGTATAACACTCTCATTCTCTGCAGCTCGCAATGAGCAAGAGGAAATGGAGGAGAAGAGGGAGATAAAACGAAGGCTAACACGAAAGGTGAGTCCGAAAATAGCGCCAAAGGTGCAAACCCACACTTGTTCTCTAAGCATTCAGAGGGGGTAAATTGTTTGCCAGCATAAACAAACACTGTGACAGTGACTCATCTGTAGTGAGAAGTAAGAGTCTTCTCGGGCCTGTTATTGTCGTTCTCAGGTCTCCCCAGGAGACACCGATGTCCTCTTTGCCCTTGGCCCTTTAGCATGTTGGCTGCCAAATCCTTCGACGGCATAGGGAGGTGTTGAGCATGTTCCCATCACTTTCAATTAGATTATAGCACTTTCTGTGCACCTGCAGACATGCTGCTCAAAACAAAAACCTTGCAGCTGTTTAGGAGGAATTTACTGTATGCATCATACCTTACGGTTTGTTTGGTAATTTCACAACCAAAAAGCTCATCTGTGTAACACACCAACTATGCATTTATAGATAGTTATGTAATGTTTTTTTTATATAGATTCTCTTCGGATATATTTATAAGCCCATTTTAAGATTGTTGTTATAATAAGCGAAGGTTGTTTCTTAATTAGTTCATAGGTTTTTATCATGTCATTTGTTTTCATGCAGATCATGAGAATGTGACACAGTAAAATTGAGCTGTGCAAATGAGGTGCAAAGCTGAAGGTGCTTAAAGTGATAAACTAGTCTTTTCCTTGTAATTTTTGTAAAGAACTCTTATTCTAAAGAAGGTCTGCAGGAACTGAAATATGAATGTGATGCACTGGTTCAATAAATGTGCCTGCGCAGTAGGACTCCTTTCTGAAGCACCTGAATAAGAAATACTGGATGTGCAGGACTTTTTTTTTTTTTTGTCTAATCTTTCTATATAGACTTGGAATATATGCAAATTTTAACAAGCTGCTAACCGTGACAGAGACTAGGAGTTTTCTGTTTTCCAACTCTATTTTTCTGTTGTTGTTCCAGCTGAGCCAGAGGCCCACTGTAGAGGAGCTGAGACAGGCCAAAATTCTCATCCGATTCAGTGACTACGTGGAGGTGTCAGATGCCCAGGACTATGACAGGCGGGCAGATAAACCCTGGACCCGGCTCACAGCAGCTGATAAGGCCAGTATTTCTAATCTCATAGTAAATTGAGATAATCATTCCGAAATCGTAAGATCCCTGCTTTCAAATTTCTTCAAACACTATCATGCTCCCCTCACCCCCGTCTGTGCGTCATATGATCCAACCCATACGCAGGAGTGATGGTATGACGACGTGTGCCTTCCGTCTTGTTATTGCAAGTTCCACCTCAGCTGCTTGGTTCCCTTTTTTGTGAGTAAACACCCTGGAGCAGTCCTGCTGCTCAAGGCCCAGCAGTCCATGCTTCTGACTTTTAATGAGTACTTGATTTTTCATGGAGCAGTGATGCAACCTTCTTTGCTTTGATGATGCACAGCTCTGAGCACGCCAGGTCACACCTGAGGACCACTCATGTGAAAATCACGGGGAGTCAGAGTTTTGATTATGCAACATCTCCCCTTACGTAAGAGAATAATCGGACAAGCAGTGCCTCTGGACCCCTCAGCCGCAGCATTGCTCTGCTGACATTTTTTATTTTCCCCTGCTTCTACCATCTAGCACAAATTTGAATATTGTTTGCTCTCCTGTCGTAGAAGCATCCTCCCCAAGGCTGAAGATGTCCCATTGAGTCATGCTGACTAGCAAAAGCAATGACATCACCTGACTGGGTTGCTGTCACACATAACATTTTAGAGGGGATGTATGGTTATTAAAAAAGTCACAGAATGCCATTTTATTTCCTGGAACTTTGACTTATCCTTAGATTTAAAATCTCTGAGAAATCATTCTGCCTTTCGGGGGAGACATTCAGTCCTCCACTGCTCCAGTGGTGCAATTTAAGAAGCCATGATTTGCTGGGCATTTTCCCAAATGTGAATGTGTATAACTACATGAATGGGAAACAGCTTTAGTTGGTGCTCCAAAACCTTCCTGGAAAAAATATGTTTTTGTAACCTCATGATGGCACTGTGGTCTCACTGTTGCCATGAATAAAAACAGGCACTGATGAGAATGTTTGTTTATATTAGCCTACCGTGACAGTGACACGATGATGCAGCACTTCGGTGTCAGGTTTAGTGCAGAGCAGCATTTACCTCGGATATCAGAAGGTTTTGATGACAGCAGCTCTGGAATCGAAGACACTGATGATGACAACATGAGCCCTAAATGAGACAGCAGTCAAGAGAAGCAGGACTGATGAGGAAACCATCATACCTCGACTGCCTCAACCTGGACAGTTTTTTCCTGGCCAAATTTCCGACTGGGGATGCCAGAAGGTCTCACAAGGAACATACTTTCCTGGAAAACCGTGGCTGCTGTGGCCATGCCTAGAGGAAAGGAAAGAGGTGCCACAACTTCCAAAAGCTGATGGATGCTTTTTATAGAGTTTTTTCTTTTTCCAGAAACAGAACCTCTTTAGTTGCAGAGATTCCACATCTGTTGATCCATCCAACTGAAAAACAGCGGGGCAGTGATTAGTGATTACTGTGCTGACTAATCTGGGCTTGGTTGGTGTCAGTCAGTCAGTCAGTAGATAGTACAGTTAAACATGAAATACAAGTGGTTGTGCTGAAATGTATTATTTAAATATAAACTAAAATATTAATATTAACACATTAATTATATGGCTAATCTGCATTATGTAAGTGCTAGGTTGCTAAAGACCCGAGGTATGAAGGAATGTTTGAAAAAACACCCATGCATTTAAGGGTAAAAGAGGAAAATCACACCACAGTGTCCCCTATTGAAACATCCACAGCACTACTTGCTTTATTTCCAGTATTTTTAGTCCTTTTTCACAATGAAGATGTGTATATTATCCTGAGCTTTTGATCCCAAGGCCTGACAGCGTGCATCACCTTACATATACTGTGCAGCTTTGATGCTCCTAAAAATAAAGCTGTATTGGTTGAAACTGAACATGTTATATCTATATGTTTTCTGTGTGTTTTAATCATTGTAAATCCGCGGCATCACCACTTCATTATCGTTAAAAACACAAGCCGACTGCCCAAATAGACCAGCAACAGATTGTATATGATTGTTCATGCTCTTGGATGTCTCAATTGGGGAAAATTGAGGGCTCTTGTGATGTGAGAAGAGACTTCAGCAGAATCATTCATGGCCTCAAGATAAGCCTAAATGATGCATGAAGCATGCTAAAAGGAGGTAGAGTCAGGGCTTAGAGGCTGCAGTTTGTGTACTAAGCCTCTGCAGCTTTTCTCAAATTTCCATCTTGTTTGTCCTCTGCAGGCAGCTATACGGAAGGAACTCAACGATTTCAAGAGCAATGAGATGGAAGTGCACGAGTCAAGTCGCCATTTAACCAGGTAATGTACAGAACCAATGCATTGCATGTGACTATGCAGGCCTTAATATCAGCTCGTGTACAGCTGGAGCTATTCGTGCTGGAGGATTTTGGCTGTACAGTGCAGAGCAGTTCCAGCTGAGGTGATGAAATGTGATGAAACAATCCTTTTTATGTCCATCTTCTTAGGTTTCACAGACCATAGTAGACCACCACTCACTGTCTCGAGCAGTGCCGAACCGGCGCTCTCCTCCACTGAGAACCTTAAGTGCTGGACAGTAAAATGGTGCCCGTTTCTACAATAAGGCCATGTCTTCTGAAATGCCTTTTCAAGACCCACACAACTGAGTCGGTACTACGCTCCAAGATGCAGACACACCACTACTCCATCCACTGTAGTAGCACATAATGACTCCAGTTGATTCACATCGCCCCTCTATGGAATTTGCTCGACTGTCTCTCCAACCTCTCTGCTGAGCTCTCAGGCAGGCGCTCAGTTCTGCGGCGATTGGACAGCGGGAGAGTTTTTTTTTTTTTTTTTTTGCAATTGGTTGACACTTTCAACATCTAACTGAGGGCAACTGTACCTTGGTTTATCAATAACACCCAGTGGACTTGTCTCAGTGGACATGTTTCCATCCCTCTTCTTTATTATGCTGTCACTCCAAACTCCTCTAGCCCTTACGGACGCTGGGTTGACTGTTCTGAGCTCACTATATCAGCAGGATATCCATCTTAACGCCACCTGCCAGGACTTTGGAAAATGGCTTAGAAAGACACACAGGAGAGGAGGGAGGGGATCCAACATTAGAAACATGTGCAATATTTTTTTTTCTTCTGCTTTTCCTAGGCTATAGCACCCCCTAGAGTCCCCTCTGTGTCATTACTATGTAGTCTTGACTTTTTTCTTCTTCCCTCATACGTGCAATTCTCACTGTACCGACAATGTTGACATCTAATTGCTAACTGTGAATTTGAGTTTGGGCAAATGCCTGCACTCTCTCCAAATGTAAATTTTGTTTATACTGAAGGAAAGTAACATTTAAAGAAGAATCATGCTTGACCACGTTTCATTCATGTCACAATCTTAGAAATTTAATGTAAAAACAGCAGCTGGCAGATATACTCTGGTTCCAGTGCGTTGCAACAGTTATCTGTTTTATATATATTTTTGGTTTTTGATAGAGGCACTTGGATCATAAATTATTATTTTACGTGTTTTTACATGTCCCAGCTCGAGAGCTGACTCACCACGTTATCTCTTGACATTTTTTTTTATTTTGCAGCACTGTGTTTACTGCTCTTTGCTTATAATGTGCATTGTATTATACACTTTACTTTTATACTCATAAGCTTTTGACCAAGCAATATCTGTTGTTTGTTGAAAAAAAGGTTAAACTACAGGTGTACTCCCC